GCTCTCTGTATGCATTCAACTGTATCGACCTCACCAATGCATCAGCTGTAGAGGGAGTCTTGGATAAGGTTGGGTACGAGGTGGATGTGATTTGCCACCTGGCAGCACAAGTAGGATGGGAGTGGTGGTCTCGATGAGCTCACCTTGGGCAGTTTAGGCGGGAGTGCGGTACTCTATCGATCATGCAGCGGAGGTTGTCGCTGCTAATATCACGGCTACGGTCAATGTGTTCGAACTAGCGAGGAAGCGGAATATCAAGTATTAGGTCCCGGGTTCGATCCCGGCACCCCGCTCTTTTCCCGTTGTTATCCAGAAAAGTCGTGGCAGCTAGCTCGTCAAGCGTCTATGGCGACTCATCTACCCCGCCCTTCAAGGAGTAGGATCTGCACATGTCAGAGAAGGATCTCTAGTTCCCGCAGGAATTCCGAGTCGGCTGATAAGCCTATCTCTCAGTACGCAGCCACGAAACGAAGCTGTGAGCTTTTCGCGGAGACTTATGCCCATCTGTATGGACTGGACATAATTATGCTGAGGTGGTTGTTGTTCCGCGCTGTGGTTTGTATTATCACGTTTTACGGATAGGTTCTTCACCGTCTACGGTCCCAGAGGACGTCCAGATATGGCTTGCTTCAAGTAGGGTGATATCTTGCATATCCAAGGTTCCCCCGAGCAAGATTCAAACAAGGTCCATTGCGGTGCCAGGTTCATCGACGCTATAGAAAATGGACGTCCCATCACCAAGTTCGGGGATGGCTCTATGGTAGCATTGCCTGGTGCTGATAGTCTCTAGGCTTGTGATGAGCTCATAGGTACGTGAATTCACATATATATCGGATATAGTAGAGGGAGTGCTGAGTGCTATTGACCGACTAGAGCGTCCTGACGGAAGGGGCGTCATCAAAGGTAGGATGTGCGATGGTTGGTATCGTCTCGAGACTGCCTTAGTTAATTTGGGAGGCGGTAGTTGCCACACTCTCAATGAGTTCATTGACACAATAGAGGCTGAGCTTGGTCGACAGGCGGTGATTCAGCAGATGCCGACTCAGCCGGGTGCATCGTACGATCTTTTTCTGTAGTGATCGAGTGACCTCAGGTGATGTTTTCATGACCAGCGCAGACCAGGAGCTAGCGAAGAGGATCCTTAACTTCACGCCTAGGGTATCTCTACGTGAGGGAATACGAGCCACAGTGGAGTGGTATCGGCAATGGAAACGAGACCAGGGGAAGCGGGGTGGGTCCAAGACTGCTTGAGGTGATGGACACATGATCATTATCTTGTGACGGCTTTCGATGAGTCTAAGTGTCGTGTTCTTGGGTGTGACAAATTTGTTCGAATTTTGTTGCTACTGTCGGCAAACTCTGTATTATATTCCTCTTTTATCAACGCTGGTTGTAGAGTGGACGTCTTCATACTGCGACAGTGTATATAGATTGGCCACTATGAGTACCGTTTATAGGGAAACATGCGATATGATGCATCTCTTTGGGGGTCTGTGGTGGTTACCATTCATGGTGTTTGCATTCAGCCAAATGCATCCGTGGAGGTCACGAAACTAAACCTTGAATTATCGATTGGTTGAAGTCGAAGTGGTGATTTACAATATCATGCATTCGATGGACCTCAGTTTCTATTTACTTGTATGAGTCAGCGTA